AAGTGCGCCTTATAGTCTGAAAAACACGGTAATGCAATATACGTCAAAGTCTAGATATATTTGTTTTCTTTCAGACTGCGTGTTTCTTACTGCTATAGGATTTGTGTCTAACCAGGTTGACTTAATCTGGTTAGATTTATTTACCTGGATTATTGAGCATAGGACTTGTGGTTTTCTTTCAAATCCGCCCAATATGTCGAGTGCCTACATCTAAACTCTCTTTGACTTCCATTATTTCTGATCTCTGAATGTTTGTCTCAGAACCTGCAATAATTTCTTCAAATGCACTTTAGAGAAATGGAAATGTGGTCATATGGCCAATAAATGTTTTTATCATGTAGATTGAAGGATTTTTTTCACATCTTAACTTTCACCAAAGTTTAAGGCTCAATTTCTAGTTTGCACTTCTGTCTGCATGTGTGATAAAATGTGCCGTGTGCACCCCAAAACAAGGCTGGACCTATGATGGCAAACAGTGACTCAACTTCAATTGGAACTATTTAAATAAGGAAATTTTACCCCTCACTAAAAACTGCTGGGTTAAAAAAAAAACCTACATTTGGGTCAAAGTTAAATCGATCCAATCTTGGGTAGTTTGGACTCAGCCGTATGGGTTTCGTTTCAAAAAGTTGGATTAAAGTAACAAATCTGTTGAAGTGAGGCTACTGAAAAGTTGAGTTACAAAGAAAAACTCAAAACGAGTTCTTAATTTCCAAACTGGGATGGTGCTCGGTAGCTAATGCTAACAAATCAAGGATCAAGGTTAGCTAGCATCGAACAATGTTTTTTTCAGGAAACCAAACTCCCCGTTTAGTCCAAACTAAAGTTATTAAAACCAGGCTAAATGTCTTATAAATTTACTGTCAGACCTTTAAATTCACCCAGAAGCAGCGGTCCGGTCTGATTTGATCAACTTCTGTGAAGAATGACCGACTGAGTCGAACTGTTTGACCCAATGATTGGTGAACCCAACCTACGACCAACATCGACTGAGTGCTCCAAACAACCCAGCAGTTTTTAGTGCGTAAAAGCTTTAAAGTTCAATCAACTTATTACTTAAAAAAGTAAAAAAAAAAAAATAAAAAAAAATGGTCAGGCTCTTTCTTAGAATATTACAATCCAAAAATAAAGTTTGTTGAGAGTTTGGCTCGTAGCGGAGATGACGTAGTTTAGTAAATTGGTGCTAAAATCAATAAAAATGTATTAAACTGAAGTGAATTATTAATATTTATAATAAAAATGCAACAAAAAGATTAAAATGTGACCTAAAACACATCACCTTTCATGTCCGAAAGGACAGAACTGAATGGAAAAACAAGAAAACGAGGACTTGTGCTATAATGTAATATTGGGCAGATACACACAAGACAGCAACATTTACACTATAAAAAAAGACATGTCAATTTATATGTATATATAGCATACATGAATGTGTTTTTACATCCAGAGAAGAAAAGAAAGTCTTTAACATTCAAACAGCAGAGCGGACGTGTCAAAGTTCGATACGGAGCAGGAGAAAAGTCAAACTCTCCGAAGAGTCATTTTCTACATAAATACACAAAAAAAAATAAACGATAAGCAGAAGCTGTTACACGAGCCAGAAGCTCTTTGGCTTTTCCACAGTGTGGATGAATTTACAGAACTTCATAAACAATAGCAACGCATCGCAAACAGTTGGACATTTTCAAGTGGTCAATGAAAGCACGGCGGAAGTTGCCCGTTCAGAGGTCGCCCTGCAGACGGGAGGCCAATAAACGCAGGAGTTCAGCTTCCTTTAAATGAAGCGCTTCCTGTTTTGTGTCGCATCGAGCACCGTCAGTCGTCGCCCTCGCATTAAATAATCAAACTGTAACGCGGGTGACGTTTTTGCTGAAGGACGTTCTCTCCGGAGCTCGGCTCGAGCTCATCCACCTCCTTCCAACACAAAGGAGGCGACGACAGGCCCGACGGATCCAGCAGCGCGTAGAGAGTTCCTGCTTCTCAGTAAAAACTGAAATCGTGCATTCATTCTCTCACATGTTCAGCTGCTCGGACAAATTTTCATTCGCCGATGAAGGCTTGTGTTCCCAGAGTTATGGAGACGATTTAAAAAAGGCTAAACTTGTAGGTCGGGAGGTTGATGAGCTGAAGGGCCACACAT